TGCTACGTGACATCTGTCCTCCTTTAGGGCAGCGAATGTTGAACGGTCTCCTCAAAGATGAAGAAGAGACTCGAGGCAACGGAGGTATGGTTCTACAGAAGGATACTGAGGATATCATGGACTGAGCGTGTGAGCAACGATGAAGTTTTGGAGAGGGTGCAAACAAAGAGGAAGCTTATACTTCACATCAGGAAGAGGCAGCTGAAATCTCTGGGACACGTAATGAGAAAGGAGGGCCTGGAGAATTTAACACTCACAGCTCGAACAGAGGGAAAGAGAGACATGCGAAAGCAACGCATGACACACCTAAGTAGTTAAGAGCTACAAGGATAGGGAGAAGTGGAGAGTCATGATCGCTTACGCCCTGAAGGGATACGGCACTTAAAAGAAGCAGCAGCAGCAGAAATTCTAAATAATTAATGGATTTAATGTTAATCCGACTTTTTTACTCCAAGCGTTATTACAGTGTAATTAAAATAGACGCCTCAGTTTGATTTTTCTTTTAACCAATGGGTATTACGTTTATTGATCTACGTTTATGTTAAATCTTAATAAAGGAAATCTATATCAAGCGCATGTTACTTTCAAAATCCGTGTCGTTACCAGGGAGTTTGACCCAATGGCTATTTTCGATTTCTACATTCTTTCCTTAAAGTAACAAAAGATGGCTGAAAGTCTTCGGACCATTAGACACATTTCCGGCAAGTACCTTTAAAAGTTTTCAGTGACGTAAAACCACTTATTAGAGAAAAGGAGAAACACGTCAAAAGGCTTAACAGCGTTCTTTGATAGTCGTATGTGGTTGTTTGGTTAAACAAAGTGTTTCTACCTAAACATGCTGTTATATAGCATGTATTTATATATAAATACACACACACAGAGACACATATATGTGTGTATGTGTGCATGCGTGCATGTGTGAATGTGCGCGTGTACTGAGATCAAAACAGGGGAAGTCTATTTCATGTTTGATCGCAATCTTCATTTTATATTTTGTGCCCTCTCTCTATATATATATTTATATATATATATATATTTAGACACTCTTTGCCCTTATATTGAGCACTTTAACCAAGAAATATAGCATAACTTAAAACTATGCTTTCACCACACACACACTTACACACACACACACACATATATATATATATATATATATATATATGTGGGGGGTGTCTGTGTGTGCGTGTGTACTGAGATCAAAACAGAGAGTGTGTTTCATGTTTGACCTCAATCTTAAGGCCATCACACACACACACATATATATATATATATATATATATATATGAAGAGCTTAAAAGAGACTGTTTGATCAACACAAGGACTGAACAAAATTCATGTTAGAAAAAAAACAAATGAAAACTACAGACAAAAGGTCATTTTCTCCATCCAGACATTCATTTCTGTAGTTCACTGCTACTAGCAAGCAGAAATTCTTTTTTTTCTTCTGATGATGGCAATGTTGGCCGAAACCAGTCGAGAAATCTAACTAAAATAATAAAAAATACGAAAGAATACTAATATCAAACCCAGTGTGTCTGAAAATTTAATTTTTTAATATTTTTTACTGTTCTAATCACACACACACACATATATATATATATATATATATATATATATATATATATATATATATATATATATATATATAAAAGAGGGGAAGGTTGTGACACGTGCGTTTCATTTATCGTAATTTTCGCCTTTTCCCTAATTCCCTAATTTGCCGCGTGGATAGGTTTTGTTCAAATAGAAATTTTAGCTCAATGTGCAGATTTGTTGCTTTTTATGCGATTCGCTTCAGGCATCGACAACGAAGTCACTGCTTAACGTGAAATAAAAACGGATTCTCCGAATTACTGAAGCAAACATTTAATCTTTTGCCTTGATTAATTTTCTACCAACTTTTTCAAAACGAATTTAGCATATATATATATATATATATATATATATATATATATATATATATATATATATATATCCGCTAAAGGAAATAAAAACACGAAGTTAAAATTTAAATGAGAATTCAAATAACTCTCTACTTTTTACATTTCAAGCTAGGACCGGGGTGAAAAGAAATAGCTCCTCCATTTTGTCCTGATTTGAAATGGGAAGTAGCAAAAATTTCAAATACAAACTTGTAACATGATTTAGGCGTTATCTTCCTCACATATCCGCATAAATTGTGCTTCTTATTCTATAACTCCCTACCTTGAGTGACTCCTGGGCCTTGTACAGCGTGAACGTCATTGTAAAAAATATCTTAAGATAATGAAAAACCACGGAAACAATATTTATAACTGACAGGCTCTACACTCTGATCACACCAAGATTTGCTCGTTTCTCCTTAGTTGATATGTTTAACGGCATATCAAATACTTATGGGTCATTTAATACTGAAATTTAATTTTCTTATTAGCTTTGAAGTAAGAAAAATATCATATATGTTATTCTGCTTTCGCAATTGAATACATGGTAGATGATACTCAGCTTTTGTGCAAATACATGTTTGTGTGGACATAATTACTGGAGGCAATGATATGTTGTAGTTATGTTGAAGTTATATTTTGGAATACAGTTTGATTTAAGAAATTATGGGATATTATATGGATAAATGTCTTGAAAGTTCATGTTGGTTTGTTGACTGATTTTACTTAACGGCATATCAACACCTCTATTTTAATGCCGAAATCGAAATAATTTGAACAAATTTTTATAGCTTCAACTACAGAGAAAATGTATTGCTGGTCATGTATTGTTGGTCTGTCTTTATATAAAAATTATACATTCATAGTAAATTTTTTTTGTCTGGTAGGGCGCTCACATAGCTGTCGTATATAGACACGGCTAGCCGTTATCAAAACCAGTCACTATATCGTATACATTTGGATGAGTATCAAGATGAGTATAAAAACTCTTTGCATATTTGTAACTCGATGATGTCTTGTTCGTTTGCTACTCAATAATAATAGTAATTATTATGATAATAATAATAATAGTAGTAATAACAATATTAATAATAATAATAGCAATAATAATAGTAATAGTAAAATAATAGTAATAATAATAATAGAATAATGCTAATAATCGTAATAATAATAGTGATAATAATAATAGTAATAATAAAAGTAATAATAATAACAGAAATAATAATAATAATAGTAATAGTAATAATAATAATAATAATAATATAATAATAGAAATAATAAGTAATAATAATAATCGTATTATAATAAATAATAATAGTAATAATAATAATAATAATAGCAATAATAATAGTAATAATAATAACGTAATAAGGAATAATGACGTAATAGTAAAATAATAATAGTAATAATAATAGTAATAGGAATTGTTGTGGATCCCGCGTGAAAAATAGGTATCCAATAAATGACAAACGCAAGTATTTAAGCTAAGAAATAAAATGTATTTACACAATCATACAAAAGGTAATGCTGTTAGTAAAATCCAGGAACACGGTTAGTAGCAAATACAGATAGACATATACAGTCTCGAAGTAGGACTTCCTTAGAGTCTACGTGCTTGTAACTGACTTGTACAAGAGGTTACTTCACTCTATCCGACACTCACAGACGACTCTTGTACGACTCATGTACGACTCCTCTTCTCTGCCTGACTGTAGCTATTTTATGGCAGCAGGACGAGTCCATTATATCCGAAAAGGGTAGACCCCATAACAGTAATAATAATAATAGTAATAATAATAGAAATAATGTAATAATAATCGTAATAATAATCGTAATAATAATAACAGAAATAATGATAATAATAATAATAGAATTAATAATAACAGTAATAATAATAGCAATAATAATAATAATAATAATAATAAGGAACTGTCTTATTAAAAAAAATGAATCTAGCCAGAGACACAATAAGGTAGCAACATATGTGCACTGGAAGATATGCGAGAAGTACAAAATTGTTGTCTAAATTACGCAAAAAAGAAAATAACTCTGACATCTCATTTTAACAACTTATATTTATCAAAAATTATACAAAAAATATTTTGAAATACTAAAGAGTAAATTTATTCAATAAAATCGCCATTGGCTTCAAACACGTCTTCCAGGCGACTTTAGAATCTCCTGCAACTCATCTGGATGTTCCCTTTGTTTAAGTTTGGTAACTGATTCCCTAATCCTTGTATTCAGTTTATCTTTGGTGTTACAGGGAGTTTTTTATTTTTATTTTTTTTTTTTTTTTGCCCCACACATAATAATCAAGGAGGTTGCAGTCTAGGGAATTAGGTAACCAGATGTAAGGATTGATGAGGTCGCAGAAATTGATGTAGACCTCCGTGCTGAACATGAGGAGGCTCTGTGGGAAGATGAATGCAGGCATAACGTCACCATCACTAGTGACCATTCGAAATCCCATTGTATTCACCCTTCCACACATCCAGCTCTTTCCGAATCCTCCTCCTCTCTCTCCTCAGACTGATAGCCAATCACTCAGAAATATTCGTATTGGATCTTCCGATACGAATGCCAAATAGTACAGAATGCTGTTTCCAAATTTCTGGCAGAGTGAATTGCGTCATGGTGCTCTTACGGCCCTATTATACTATGCAGTCGGCAAAATCAAAAACAAAGCAACAATTTGAACACCGCACTCTATATATAGTAAATTGTCGCCATTTTATATTTTGACCTTGTTTGTTATATATATTATATATATATATATATATATATATATATATATATATATATATAATGGACTCTCCCGTCGGTTTCGACGTATGAGGATCTGGCATCTTATTGATTCAGTTATGAAATTTTGTGCGATAATCTTAAGTGGCATTTAGGACCCGCTAGTGATTTACAAAGGAAGCCGCATATGGAGCAGATGTGAGGATTGTTAAATGAGATTACTGTTAGATTGGCTGACCTTTTAGATCTTGCTCTCGCTTCTTGAAGATGATTCAAACAAGCAGATTGAAAATTGCTGATTCCACAAAAACACGTTGATCTCCATTCTACCCGCTCCAAGGCTAAGCGCTCAAAGTGGGTTATGTGATAGATAGATAGATAGATAGATAGATAGATAGATAGATAGATAGATAGATAGATAGATAGTGGTACTCGCTTAGGTATTTTGGCTTGTAGTTGAACAAACCAGTACCCAAGGAAAAATGAGGAATAAAAAAAAGAAAGAACTAAGAACATGAAATTGAGGCGAAAACAATCATCCAGAATCCAAGCTCAAGAGTCCAAAAAGAAAAAAAAAACTGGAAAACGAGTAAAAGTAACTACGTAAAGTGCTCAATACACGAAGTAGAGCAAGCGTAATATAAACCTAAAGAGCCAGGTAAACCTGCCTAGGTTTCACCTAAACGGATCGTCAGTGTCAATCGTTTGATATATATTATATATATATATATATATATATATATATATATATATATATATATATATATATATATAAACTTTTGATATCTTTACAATTTTCGAATGAAGTTATGAATAAATTGTTTTATTGAAGTATTTTCGAAACTGGAAAAATATAATAAAAAACTGCACAGAAAGACAATATCGGTATATATATATATATATATATATATATATATATATATATATATATATATATATATATATTTCCAGGAACCAATAAAATTGTCGAAATGACCAAGGAATCCAGAGCAGCAAGGTCTGACCAAAATCCATGTTAAAAAAATTTTTTAAAAAAATGAAAGCTATAGAGTTTATTTTCTCCATCAAGTCATTCATTTCTGTAGTTCACTGTCACTAACAATCAGAAATTTTATTTTCTCCTGATGATGGCCATGTTCCTAGTCGAGGAATCTAACTGAAAGAATAAAAACGAAAAAATATTAATATACAACCCAGTTACTGAAGATTTTAATTTTTAATATTTTTTATTGTTCAAGACAGACACACACACACACACACACACACACACACATATATATATATATATATATATATATATATTAAGAAATGGACAAGGTCCGACAATTTATTTATTAAAAGACATTTTTATAAAATAACAACTTTAAACATAAAAATGTCTTTAATTATATATATATATATATATATATATATATATATATATATATATATATATATATATATATATATATTCATACACCTTTCATTAAATAATATAGACAAGTGTTGTCTATTTATTTTATGTAAATTCTTTTCATAAAGTCTGATAAGCTTAATAACATTATCATTAAACGAAAAAAGAAATTCACAATATTGATCCATACTTAATACAATCTAAGCTTTTGGCTTACATAAGCCATTATCAAAGTTGTCAATTACGACATATTAAGCAATATACGGACAAGACAGTCTGTCAATGTTTACATAGATTATTTCTAAGCAACGAAAAATACGTGCATATAAGACGCTAGAAGCGAAAATCGCACCGCATCTCATGACGTCACACCTAACCACGCGAGAGTGAATTGGAGAAGTATGAAATATGGGAAGCCGTTGGTATAAACCAATGGCTTCTGTTACCAATTATAGACATTTAAGAATATTTGTAGAGATTTCATAGTTGATTTTGTTTAGGTTGGGTTTCAACTGTTTGATGTATAATGCTTCAAGTATTTTTAGTTTTTGTCTATTGTTTTCATGTCGAAGTATAGTTGTGTTTTCGACAAGTATTTTACGGAATTGTGTGTGCGGGCAGGCATGTTGTTTTAAATGCCTAAAAATGTTAGAGTTTTCATTCAAATGTAGTGTCAAGCGTCGTGAAAGCGAGTTTGTGGTTTGATCAACATAAATATTATATATATATTGTGTATTTAGGCAGCAACCCTTCATTAATACATGTTTCATCAAAGAAGACAGACAAGGTACTGCGATTAAACTTTTTATTTAATTTTTCTTGTGTTCGAACTTTTCGGAACACAACCTGTGTAGAAACTGTTCAAATGTTCTGTAAATCCGAGCCATTATCAAACCACCCTTACATTCAACTTTACAGAGCTTGATTTTCCCAAGCGGTCACCCATCTAGGTACTGATCCGGCCCGGCATTGCTTAACTTCGGTCATCGTGCAGGAACCGGTGTTTCAAATAGATGTGGCTGTAAGCCTGGTTTGGATTTATGTTTTGTCAATACTTTTGGTAATATGTAAAGCAGAAACATATTTTGGAAGTCAGGAATAATTCCATTTGGTGAGATTTTTGCATTAACAACACCCTTGAGAATAAAAAAGATAAAACTCCCACTATTTAACCTATATATGTGGTAAAAGATGTATACTTTGCCCAGTATTACTTGTGCGTACGTGAATTCGACTGGAATTCGAACTGGCATTCACATTCCGAGCCTCTACGTATTAACCTGGGGAAACTGCGTCACACATCCCGAGGCAGATTGGAATAATAAAATAAAGCCTCCAGTGACTGCACAAACTACAAAGGAGACCTTATTGCTATGTCATATCTGTTGTAGCGTATGTCAGGGAAGATGAGACTGGAAGCGACGGAGATTGTGGCGCTACTGAACGATGCTGAGAATAACATGGACTAAACATGTGAACAACGAGGAAGGATATCATAATTAAAATCAGAAAGAAGTTGACATTCCTGGAATAAGCGAGGAAAGAAACATGGGAAAAATAAATACTCATGGGCGTATTTGAGGAAAGGAAACATCAAGAACATGCTTAATGGGTTTGTGTGAAAGGATCCTTGGGCAGAGAAAAAGAAGCATGACAAAGAATTAAATGTTGCTTTAAGATACAAGGAACAAGAAGTTGGAGAGAGACATGATCGATTACGCCTTGAAAGATCACGGCAGGTGATAATAATCTTATGAATAATCAAGAATGGTCTCCCCTTGTTTTATTACTCTCCTCTTTGAGAGAGCTATTTTTTTTTACTGGGACTATAAAAGGACACAATACGCGAACCTTGTATTCTCAGTTGAATAAAGCTTTCTTAAAGCCTATACCTGCGTACTTCTGTCATTACAAATAGCACTAAACTGAAATTTTACTTTCTCTCTGTCAAGTTGATTAAATTAAATCATTTTGTTTTGGATAAAAGTAGACATCAAGATCAACAAGGAGACAGATATTCAACTTACAATGAATGCATAATACTAAACTGGAACCGTCTTTGTGTCCATCAGGTGAATCAAAATGAATCATTGTTTCCGTTAAACAGTGTATAGTCGATATCTAGGTGAATATTTCCCGCCAGAAACATCAAAGTTATGACCTTTTCCTGCGACCTTTTCCCTATGACATTTTCTGATAAGTGAAAATTAACTTAAAAAAGAGTAACGCTTTATTTACATTTGTAGTATGACAACTAACCACCATAAATGTTATTAACCTTTCGATGGCTTTCGTTTCAATTTCACGCAAAAATATTGTTCGGTGTTTTCCTATATTAATTGGTGCAATAAAAATCCATCAAAATAATTTCGATTTGCAAAAAAATATGGTTAAATTAACTAATTTGCAAAATAACGTAGACATAAAAGTTAAATCAGATCAAAGAGTTTAAGAGGATGTTGGTTTCAATCAAGTAGCACACTTAAGATCATGTAGTCGTAGCAGGAGAAAAAGAACGTCCTACGTGCAATTGCCAGGAAAATATTTCTAAAAAAGAGAGAGGGAAACCACGCCACATCGGCGAGAAATTGATTGAAGTCGAGATGCCAAGTCAGGAGCGATTACATTACAGATCCTTCTTTGAATTTTGTCAGGAATCACATGATGTACAACAGGAGCACCAGATCAGATATGACAGCAATATTCAATGCACGGATGAATGGTAAATTTATAAATGTACAAGATGGATTCTGATGAGGAAAACTTTGGCGGTGGGAAAGTAAAGTCGTGATTCTAGGTGAGGACCAATAACATTACATTCTTTTGGATTTTGTTGAGAATCTCAAGATATATAACAGGAGCACCAGACCAGATATGGCAGCAATATTCAATACACGGATGAATGGTAGATTTATAAATGTACAAGATGGATTCTGATGAGAAAAACTTTGGCGGTGGGAAAGTAAAGTCGTGATTCTAGGTGAGGACCAATAACAACATTTTCTGATTTTTGGAGAATCTCAAGATATATAACAGGAGCACCAGACCAGATATGGCAGCAATATTCAATGTACGGATGAATGGTAGATTTATAAATGACAAGATGAATTCTGATGAGGAAACATTTTGGCAACTATTAACGAAAAATTCAATGATACGGATAATAATGCTAAAAGTAACGAATTCATGGCGGTAGGATACAAAATATAAAAAATATATTTTTTTGGCCTTATTTTTCACTGCCAAAGAAATTGCTTATAACCTAAATTCTGGTGAATGAAGTGTTCTTTTATAAAAATTTTCTTTGATGGATTTATATGAGCTAAACAGTGTCGGTGGGAAATTAGTTTTCGTGATTCTAGGGAGGAGTGTTTACATTGAATTCTTTTGATTTTTAATTGAAAAAACATTCTAAGAATATATAAAGGGATCACCAACCCGAATCGAAACAATTTTGTTGAGAATCAAGATATAAAAGGAATTTAGACCAATGTACAAGATAAAAGTCGGTATTCTAGGTGAGGACCAATAACATTACATTCTTTGGATTTTGTTGAGAATCTCAAGATATATAACAGGAGCACCAGACCAGATATGGCAGCAATATTCAATACATGGATGAATGGTAGATTTATAAATGTACAAGATGGATTCTGATGAGAAAAACTTTGGCGGTGGGAAAAGTAAAGTCTTGATTCTAGGTGAGGACCAATAACATTACATTCTTTGATTTTTTTTGAAAATCTCAATATTCAATATATAACAGGAGCACCAGACCAGATATGGCAGCAATATTCAATGCACGGATGAATGGTAGATTTATAAATGTGCAAGATGGATTCTGATGAGGAAAAACTTTGGCGGTGGGAAAAGTAAAGTCGTGATTCTAGGTGAGGACCAATAACATTACATTCTTTGGATTTTGTTGAAAATCTCAAGATATATAAAAGGACCACCAGACCAGATATGGCAGCAATATTCAATGCATGGATGAATGGTAAATTTATAAATGTACAAGATGGATTCTGATGAGGAAAACTTTGGCGGTGGGAAAGTAAAGTCGTGATTCTAGGTGAGGACCAATAACATTACATTCTTTGGATTTTGTTGAGAATCTCAAGATATATAACAGGAGCACCAGACCAGATATGGCAGCAATATTCAATGCACGGATGAATGGTAAATTTATAAATGTACAAGATGGATTCTGATGAGGAAAACTTTGGCGGTGGGAAAGTAAATTCGTGATTCTAGGTGAGGACCAATAACATTACATTCTTTGGATTTTCTTGAAAATCTCAAGAATATATAAAAGGATCACCAGACCAGATATATCAGCAATATTCAATACACGGATGAATGGTAGATTTATAAATGTACAAGATGGATTCTGATGAGGAAAAACTTTGGCGGTGGGAAAGTAAAGTCATGATTCTAGGTGAGGACCAATAACATTACATTCTTTGGATTTTGTTGAGAATCTCAAGATATATAACAGGAGCACCAGACCAGATATGGCAGCAATATTCAATGCACGGATGAATGGTAAATTTATAAATGTACAAGATGGATTCTGATGAGAAAAAACTTTGGCGGTGGGAAAGTAAAGTCATGATTCTAGGTGAGGACCAATAACATTACATTCTTTGGATTTTGTTGAAAATCTCAAGATATATAACAGGAGCACTAGACCAGATATGGCAGCAATATTCAATACACGGATGATGAATGGTAAATTTATAAATGTACAAGATGGATTCTGATGATGAAAACTTTGGCGGTGGGAAAGTAAAGATCGTGATTCTAGGTGAGGACCAATAACATTACATTCTTTGGATTTTGTTGAGAAAATCTCAAGATATATAACAGGAGCACCAGACCAGATATGGCAGCAATATTCAATCCACGGATGAATGGGTACAAGATGGATTTGATGAGAAAAACTTTGGCGGTGGGAAATAAAGTCGTGATTCTAGGTGAGGACCAATAACATTACATTCTTTGGATTTTCTTGAGAATATATAACAGACCACCAGACCAGATATGGCAGCAATATTCAATACACGGATGAATGGTAAATTTATAAATGTACAAGATGGATTCTGATGAGGAAAACTTTGGCGGTGGGAAAGTAAAGTCGTGATTCTAGGTGAGGACCAATAACATTACATTCTTTGATTTTGTTGAAAATCTCAAGAATATATAACAGGACCACCAGACCAGATATGGCAGCAATATTCAATGCACGGATGAATGGTAAATTTATAAATGTACAAGATGGATTCTGATGAGGAAAACTTTGGCGGTGGGAAAGTAAAGTCATGATTCTAGGTGAGGACCAATAACATTACATTCTTTGGATTTTGTTGAGAATCTCAAGATATATAACAGGAGCACCAGACCAGATATGGCAGCAATATTCAATGCATGGATGAATGGTAGATTTATAAATGTACAAGATGGATTCTGATGAGGAAAACTTTGGCGGTGGGAAAGTAAATTCGTGATTCTAGGTGAGGACCAATAACATTACATTCTTTGGATTTTGTTGAAAATCTCAAGAATATATAAAAGGATCACCAGACCAGATATATCAGCAATATTCAATGCACGGATGAATGGTAAATTTATAAATGTACAAGATGGATTCTGATGAGGAAAACTTTGGCGGTGGGAAAGTAAATTCGTGATTCTAGGTGAGGACCAATAACATTACATTCTTTGGATTTTGTTGAGAATCTCAAGATATATGACAGGAGCACCAGAGCAGATATGGCAGCAATATTCAATCCACGGATGAATGGTAAATTTATAAATGTACAAGATGGATTCTGATGGAAAAAACTTTGGCGGTGGGAAACATTAAATTCGTGATTCTAGGTGAGGACCAATAACATTACATTCTTTGGATTTTGTTGAGAATCTCAAGATATATAACAGGACCACCAGACCAGATATGGCAGCAATATTCAATGCACGGATGAATGGTAAATTTATAAATGTACAAGATGGATTCTGATGAG